AGCTATGTGTGTAGCTGTCGCTGCAGTCGCCATTGTTGTTATTCTCATTTTGGTATCCGTTTCCGTTGTCGTTGCTGCTACTTCTCACCACCCATCGCGTCTCCATCACTCGAAAGCTTCTTCGTTCGTTCGGCACGTATTATGTGGAAAATGAAAATGCTTGTCGTTATTGTTCAGCTTCAGTAATTCACTAAATGCAGTTATACACAAAAAATGATTTATAAGTTGATGCGGCAAAGAGCAGCAAACAAGCGTACGAACATTGGAAAATTACATGTGTGGCGCACTGAACAGGGTTGCCATTTGGTTTTTTTTTGCTGATTTTGGTATGTAAAGAAAAAGTTTAAAATTCATAAGAAATGTTCCTGTTTTTTTGCCGGGCTTATCTAAAGTAAAGCTACTGTAGTAAAGTTGCTAGAAGGGCATACTAAGTTAGGTTAGGTTAGGTGTTGGTGGCTGCCCCTATTTAAGGGGCTCACTTAGATCGTTGTTGTTACTTCTTTTTAAAATCACTGCTACCGGTAACTGCGAAGTTAGAGCGAGAATCGTTGATTGCCGAGAACGATGTTTCGTATACGGCAAATGTTAGTCCCGAAGAGCTTCTCTGGACATATCATTTAGTACGCACCCAAGTGCGCATGCCACAATCTAGCAAAAACTTGGCAGTCTAGAGGAAATATTGAGCTGTGCTTCATACAGCTTCGACAAAAAGGATTCGGCAAAATATTGAATCTCACTGAACACCGATAAAATAATGGCCTGCAAGGGCACCCACTAGAATCAAGAGATCCAGTTTCGCGAGCCTAAGGAGATCCATAGACCGCCTTCAGTCCACCCTCGTCCAAACTCCAAGCCTCTCTCTTTTTGGCGATTCTTCCGCATCTGGCCAGTTCATCAGCCGCTCAGTTTCCTGCTATATTACTGTGGTCTGGTACCCAAACAAGTCTGACAAAGTAATATTCCGGAGCTATAGAAATTGAAGCTTCGAGCGTACCATAAGCATATATGTATGTAATACTCCTATATTGGCAGTAAGAGCTAATACCGTAAGAGAACATTACAGTACAGATATGTCAATAAACGCGTACAAGATATTATAAATCAACATGTAGATACGCAACACATACACAAAAACGGTACTGCCAATATAGAAGTATTACATATATGACCCTAAGGTCATGTGGACTCCACTTTTCCGTCTTCCGTCAAGCTTCGACCCATCCGTGTAAAAGTTTACTGATACTATTAAATCACTTGAACACTAAAATCGTTCGCCCCTATGGCTTTTGGCGTTCTTTTAAACTTCGGCACTACATTTCTATTTTTATGAGTGCTGCGTAAACTAACCCTTTACAACTAATCATACAAACAGGTGTAAAATGACCTGTCTTGGACATATTTAATAATAATTAATTTAATATACACCCGTGTAATTTTCAACCAAATTATTTGCACGAAGCTCGGAAAATTTGTTTTTGATTTGAAACTTCTTCAGCGGCGGTCGCTTGGTTGGGAGTAAAATGGAAAATTCAACGGAAAATGTCAATGGAAATGATGCAACGGAAATGGTTGGGGCTTAAATATGTAAGTGCTTCTTGAGTGTATGCACATGGTATTAATTTAACAAAACCTTGCTAATAAAAGGTTAAAGAAGAACACTTAGAAATAAACCAACACAAGAATGAAAGTACATAGATAAAGAAAAGGACAGAGGCAAAGGTAAAAAATAAAAACAAAAACAAAGATGCGGTAAAATAAAGGAATAAAAGAAGATCAAGGTAAATTTAAACACTCTACTTATATAAGGGCAAAGGAGAAGGGGAATATGTAGAAGAAGAAAATGATAAACATAAAAGTAAAAACAAAGATAAATGTAAAGAAAAAATTGAGGTAGGAGACCGACAAAAGTAAAGATCAAGATGGAGGAAGAAAGATTAAAATAAAGGTAATTATAGAGAAAAGTATAAAGACAGAAGAAGCAGAAGCTCGGCCAAACACTAACATATGTGTAAGCGCCAATCTATTATTATTATTATAGAGACAGAGACACAGATACTCAATCTATGCACTATTTTGGGTTTTCGGGATTCTCGGGACTTATCTTTATAATAATCAGTATTGTTTTTCGGTTTTGTTATTGATATTTTTATCGATTTTGTTACCGAAATTTTTATCGATATTGGTATCGATTTTGCTATCGATATCTTCGGAACTTATCGCTATAATAATCGATATTTTCATAGATTTTTTATCGATATTTTTATCGATTTGTTATCGATTTTGTAAACCATATTTTTAGCGATCTTTATAGATGTTTTTAACGATTTTTTACATTTCATTTATTTTACTTTTCTATTAATATCATTTAAATTTCAAATTATTTTATTTTTTAGAAACTAATTTTATTTATGTTTTTCTGTAACTTAATTTTCTTTTAATGTTTGTTCTTGTTTTTCTAATAAAATTGTTTTTGTTTTTTTAATCAAATTACATAACTTTCTTTTACTTTTAAATTCTATTAATTTATAAAGGTAAATATTTTTTTACATTTAATTAATTATATTTTATTTTTCTATATCATATTTTTTCTTTTTCAATTACATGTTGAGATTTGATTGGTTTAAGTAACAAAATAATTTTTTTTTAATTCCATTTATTTTTTAATTTTTGTTTTATTCTTTAACTTATTTTTCTTTTAATTTTTATATTTTATTGTTTTAAACCGAAAAATATTTTTTTTTAATTTCATAAAATTTTGAAATGTAATGTGTTTTGTTTCTGTAAGTAAGTTTCTTTGTTTTTTAAGTTTTAAACTTTATTATTTTAAGTAGAAGCGCATTTTTCTGAATTCATTTAAGTTTTAGAAATCTATTTTTTTTTGCTTTTACTTCTTTTTTTAGTTGAATTGTTTCCTATTTAATATTTATTTTAATTTTCATTTCATATAATTTTGAGAAAACTTATTGCTTAACAAAACAGAATAACTCCAAGCCTTCCTTGTTAGATCTTTAAATTAGTCTTTTGAAAGGCAGAAAAGAGATTTCAAGATAGATGCCAGAATTGATGAAAGACTTCTATCTTTAATTTTAGGAATACAATAAGGGAAAATCATGACTGACAATGTTGTTCGACACAATTTCTAATAGAGAAATGGAAAATAGAAATGAGTAATTTTTATGTACATATGTAGTTAGTTCTATCATTAATTTTTCAGTTGAATTACTAAAACAAAATTTTGATGGGATATTTTGACAATTACGGCTTATTTAAAGTTCTATGTGCTCGTAAAATAGAAATAAAAATAAGAATCTAAATGACAAGAAGATGCCAACGTTTAGCATTAAGCAGCCGTGGATTGAAAAAAATGGGGCGAATCGTTGAAATCTTACATGACTTGATGCCTTGTCAACCCCCTTAATTACTACAAATTTTGATGCATACCAGTGTTTCTTTGTATGAATAAATCTGTTCATGTACAAATAGTAAGTATGTATGTATGAGAGGAGTGTAATTTCCGAGAATTTACATGGCAATGCATGGTGAATTTTAATTAATTAGGCATCGCAAACGTTACCCAATTAGCATATGTATACATAAATGTATGAGTTTGTGTGTGTGCGTATGCAAATATGCATATGAGTGTGCTTGTATGTGTACAATTTATGTAGCTATTTGGCAATTAAATTACGTTCAACGGAAATTGGCAACACTACAAAGAAAATCGCATTCAAGCATTAAAAACTGGCAGACTGTCTGCCAACCCGCCCGCCAGCCACCCATTTAACGCACTATAGCATAACGCCAACAGCAAAAGCAGCAACTCAAAATAGACTAAAATGCGAAAATACAATAGCATAAGTAGACAGCGGCACACACACACACATACACCCAAACACATGCCTGTGCATATATATGTTGGCCAACATTGTATGCGTAGCTAAAAACAAGTCAATGAAAACGAATAAAAGACTAAAAACAAACAACAACAATACGTAGAAAAACGAAGCACAAAATCGGAGCCAACTCAACTCAGCAAATACTTTAAAACAAAACCCTGAAATCCATTTCCCGTGCAACCAAGCGTTTAAACAAACAAATTTTTCGCTAAATAATTTGACAATTACTCACATCCCTCAAAGTGGGGACGCTGACTGGGGGCAACTATTATATATACATATAGTAAATAGGAGAAGTCCGCAGCAGATGTAGGGGACGAGTTGCCGAGCGCGAGCGCTCGCAGGCAGGCAAGCAAGTGAAAAGTGAGCGGAAGAAAAGAAGGGAGGCAGAGGGCTAGAGTTAGACGCCTCCCCGTAGTAGCAGTCACCGACTCTCTATCTCTCTCACAGCCAGTAGGGCCCTATAGGGGCTGTTAAAGAAGACGGAGGTGGTGCAGTCATTTATTTTTGTTTCAATGGTGCACATTTACGCTACCGTGGGCAATGGCGTGCAACGTAGTGCATGCGAAAAATAAAAGTCGCCTCGGAACACACCATTACATTTGCTAACGAGGGGAAAACAAATTAAATCATTAGATTGTGATACTGATCCTTTAAACTTAAGTACCGAGCGTAGTTATGGTGTGTCAAAAGATGCCGCATACAGCAGCGAACTCACATATGTAGGTGTATGTATGTAGATGTGAAAGGATGTATACACTCGCAAAGGTACACGTAATTGGGGGAAAAAATCAAAAAAAAAAACAACTTCTATAAAAGTCAACTCATTTCCATTAGCCAAAAAAGGCGGAGCTACATACTTCCTGCATGCGCCCGAAAAGTCACTCAAAATTCACACTCATTCACAAGGCGAGCGCGCCGCAACAGATATTCTCCAATGGGGCGTGCACATGTGGCAAGAATCACCACCACAACGTCATGGGCGACACAGCCACCACCACCGCCACACACAAGCGGCGCCTCGAGTATGGGGTGTCGCGACTGAGTGCCGCAGTATCGCTCAGCATCCGCTCAGTAGCAGTTCCGTTGTCGCAAGCAGATAGTACGGGTTCGGTAGTCAGCCAACTACTCAGTACTGTGCGACTTCGCTTAACTAGATTAGCGCCGCGCAACAAATCCGAGTGACAGCGCAACCGACTGACACAGCTGACGCGCGTAACGTCAGAGCGCGCGTTCAACCCTTCGCATTACGCGTGAGTGTGACTGCGTTTTAGTTGTGTTTGAGTGGGGTGTGCGTGACAGACATCAGAAGAAGAAGAAGAAGAAGACAGCAGAGCAACCCCACCGCGGCTATTCTGCCCCTCTGTTGATACGCACTGCAGATGAAGACGCGACGCGAAATCAGTAACAGTCGATTGGCTGCCATCAGAGTTACAAGTACTTAAACGCCGTCAAGCGGACGGAAGCCAAAGGTCGATCGGTCGTCACTAATAAATCGTCGCTAAATACTTCCGTGTACGCGTATAGCTGACCGTTGTCTCCAGTGTCGCATGACTTTAGGCACCGGTGTCGAGTGCAAGGAATAAAAGTGTTTGCACAGCGTCAGCAAGCGTCATTACAACAAGTGAACGCATAGTGTACAGAACAGTCTGCTGAGCACGTTGGGAACTTTGAATCATAGTTAAGTGAAGAATAACTGGGTTAACGAACGCGCCTTTACTCGCGTGTGTTGTGAATACAAAAATTTTTGTCGAGAAACCTTATTAAAGTATTTAATAAAAAAATAAATAGTTTAAGTGTTTAAAGTGCTGCCAAAGCCCTCCGGCAAAATGGTGATGCTGCAGTCACCAGCCAAAAACTCCGACGCTTTGCCAGCTCAATGCCGTCGGCGGCCAACTGAGTCCCAACTCCAATCCGATTCGCCTAAATCGAACACTTCACCGGAGGTTGCAATGCAGTAATGCCGGCGGTGCTGCAACGCCCACGTCAACCACGTCTAGCGCCTCGCTAACGCCAAAGATACCCAAATTCATTATAAGCCAACAATCTCTAGCAACCGCTAATAATAGCGGTACCTCAACCACCGCCGCCGGGAAATCGTCCAACGCCAATAGCGACAGCCTGCGCTACTCGCTCGAGCGTCTAAAGCAGATGACAGAGTTGAATGTTGTGAATCGCCTAAGTCCCACTGCAACGACCGCCGATTCACCTGAACACGCCGATGCGGAAAAGTGCAATAATAATAATAGTAACAGTGTGAACAACAATAACAACACTTATACTAACGGCCCCACAGGCAACAGCAACGGCGGCAACAACAACTGTAATACCAACAGCCGTCCCTCCCTTACACCGCCAGCCACATTCCCCAGTCCGCCACAACGTAAGCTGCTTGAGTTTAACGATGTGCCCGGCCAATTAACGCGCCCAGAGCCTTTGCCTCATCCGCATGCCGCTCTCTTGCAGCAACATCCACATTTGCTACAAAATCCGCAATTCATCGCCGCCGCCGCCGCTGCCCAACATCAGCATCAACATAATCACAATCTTCAGCAGCATCATCAACACCAACACCAGCATCACCATCTCCACCAACAACCGCCAACGAACCATCCGCATTCGCATCCCCACCATCCATTAGCAGATTTCCATCCAATGCGTCCATCGCTGTCCACTATGGTTGGTTTGACGCCACCACCGCCATCGTCGCAAACTTCGAATTTACATCTGCATCTGCCATCGCCCGCCAGCTCGCCGCTTTCGCCACCCACATCACCGCTTCAAGCACAACATTCCGAACAGCCGCAAACAACACCGCAACCGCTGTCACCCGTGCAGCCACAACATCAGCACCAGCACCAACACCAACACCAGCAGCCACATTCCACATCTACGTCCTTGTCTTCCGTCTCGTCGAATGTTGCACTTTCGCCCCAACAACATCATCTGCTGTCAACGCCACCCTCATCAATATTGCTCAGTGCTCCGCATACCCTTCCACATGCCGCCCAATTGGCCAATTGTAGTCCCTCATCAACACTTACGGCGACGCATGATATGGATCTGGAAAGGATTAAGCTGGTCGCTGCGCAGGCAGTGGCTGCCCGGTCTACCGTAACATTGGGCTCAGCTGCTAATGCGTCTAGTACCTCGTCTGCTGCCGCTGCCGCCTCTATGGCCGCAGCGGCATCCGGCCTGTGTTTGTCATCGTCAAATCCGCGTCCAGACCTTAGCGACTATGGTTTTCGAATACAGTTGGGTGGGTTGGCGGCGGCGGCCGCTGCAGCTGCAGCCACTTCACGACAAATAGCGGCGGCAAATTATGCACGCAGTGATACGAGCGAAGAGTTGAATGTGGATGGCAACGATGAGGACAGCAACAATGGGTCAGATAGCACGCCAACGGTGAGTTTTGGGGAATTGGGGTTAATGCTGTCGAATCAAGAAAGTANAGCAACAATGGGTCAGATAGCACGCCAACGGTGAGTTTTGGGGAATTGGGAAATGGGGTTAATGCTGTCGAATCAAGAAAGTGTTTAGTATTCACATTGATATGTATTACCACTTCATTTTAAAGCAGTGAGATAGAAACGAAGCTTGTGAACACCTTTTGTATTAATATTTTGCACTATCTGAAATAGAATAGAATAACACAGTTGTTTAAATCGTTTTGAGAAGAAAAGGAGAGGGTTCCAAAATAATTAATCTGAATGAAAAGTTTCGCACTCTGCGAGTAGATGTTTAAATGAGATGGTCTTAAAGGCTCACGAATGCCATTACTTATTTATGGAATATACCATGGTTAAATGTTCGCCGTGACTTCTTATGGTGGCACGGCTCCGTGTGGTCAAATTTTCATTAATTTTCACGCATAGGTTCGGTTGTATTCGAGCCATGGTCTGGGTTATGTTGGGCTTAAGGTCGTCGGCCAACTGCGGCTTATTTTTTAGAGGGGTCAAATCGTACGACCTTGGTGATCAGTTCAAGTCACCTCTGCGAGAGTTAACTATATCCTCAAATCGTTCATGCGGAATGTTCATTGTGGTGTCCTCTATGCGGTGCCATGGCAATTTCGCATGTGTGAATGAAAAATAAATTATATGTAGTCTAGGCAGATCCTACGAAAACCAAATCGCGGACAGAATGGATAACAGCCTTTCTGTTCCTTAAGGAAGAGGTTTTACTCTAGGCGGCCATCATAGCCAAGCGATTAGGTCCCAAATTTAAATCATACAAATACGAATTTTGTATTTGTTATTTAAATACTTGTATTTGAAATAGTTAACATCCCTGGGTAATGGCAGAAGAAGATGGGGGAAACCAATTGGAGAAGCATTTTACTTTACTTGACATTTCCAGTTGGCATTAGTTGGAACAGAAGATAAGCGCTTTATTGGTATCTGCCAAAATCGCTGGGCGGCTATTTTACCAAATGTGAGGTTAGAAAGGTAAAATTTAAATTTCGGTACTCCAGAAGTGGTTGAATCGCTGCTGTCTTGAAATACACATACGTTAGAATACTTACTTCCTAGCCAAACTCCATAGAATTTCACTCCACAGTGAAGAATAAGTTTTTTTTTGTACAGTGGGTTAAGCTCCACAATTTTTAATCAACATTTTTTATATTATTCAAAATATATTATGTATTTATTCGTCCTTCCTAATCTGCAGAAGGTTTTGAAATCGACGGCCCTTAATCAATATTTTACTGCTTAGCATTTTAACCCTTTAACGACGTTCGCCAATAAGTCGATTGATTGAGGCGCTATAAGTATAAGTATAAGTATTGTATATGCCAGTTGTTGTTAAACTCCAGGCAAACTTTTTATACCCGAGCGCACTTGTGCGCATCCCATATAACGGTAATTAAGAGAAATACGAAATCTTCGATAAATCGGTAAATACTAAAGCAAATTTATTCAAATTTGATATGTGCAATAATTCTTTACCAAAAAATACGCATATGATAAAATTTTGGAAAATGGGCGTGGTACCGCCTACTTATAATCACATATATGTGTCTCGGTAGCCGTTCTACCAATTTGTTCCAAACTCGGATGGTTATTGCGCTTGCCACATAAAAGCAATCCGTTGAAAATTAGATATTGAAATCGGACTAAAATTGCGACCACTTTTCATATGACGATATATCGAAATTTAAGGACACCGGTTCATTCAAAATTGATACCAACAACAATCCCTTGAAAAGAAGTAACATTATTTGGTAGTAGGTGTTCTTCCATTTTTGCCAAGTTTTAACGTATTATTTTTGTTGTTATTTAATTTTGGTTATTTTTTTTTAAATGTAGTTCATTCTTCAACAAAAACAGTGTAAATCCAAGTACCCAAGTTTGTGCAATATTAAAATAAAAGCAACAAACCTTCGTACAAATTTCGAGTTTTTTTGAAAATTCTAAAAAAATTAATTTTTTTTAGCCATTTGAAACTTGTACTTTTTTCAACTAGAATTCAATTCGCTATTTTTATATTGGGCTATTGGTACAAAATAAAAAAATTGGAACAAAAAAAAAATTGTTCCAATTTTTGTAGTCAAAAGATTGGTACAATACAGCGATGTTCTACTGAAAATTTTCNTTTTTTTAGCCATTTGAAACTTGTACTTTTTTCAACTAGAATTCAATTCGCTATTTTTATATTGGGCTATTGGTACAAAATAAAAAAATTGGAACAAAAAGAAAATTGTTTCAATTTTTGTAGTCAAAAGATTGGTACAATACAGCGATGTTCTACTGAAAATTTAAAAAAAAATATTTTTCGTGATTGGGATAAAGAAAAATATATCGGTATTCACACAATTACAATACGATTGGCACCAAATTTTGGCAAATACCAAATCGTGAGACACTGCCTTTAAACTTGTATTTATACGGATGTTGTTAAAGTATGAAATATAAAAAACTAACCAAAATTAAATAAAAATAAAAACAAAAATAATATTTTAAAACTTGTCAAAATTTGCTGCGGATATAATTTTTTCGACCACTGTACGTTAGTTGAATATGATTACTCGGCCGCGCTATCAAAGTAGCCGCTAAGTGTATTTTAAAATTTTCAGGCAATAGCCTCATGCGGTTATCGCGAAGCATTGATTTAAGATTACTTTTATTTTTTGTTATCCGTGTAAAATATTTTATTTTTATTAGTATTTTTNTATCAAAGTAGCCGCTAAGTGTATTTTAAAATTTTCAGGCAATAGCCTCATGCGATTATCGCGAAGCATTGATTTAAGATTACTTTAATTTTTTGTTATTTGTATGAAATATTTAATTTTTATCAGTATTTTACTTTTAACCAAACTATGTTGAAATAAATGTGAAAATAAAAAAATATTTTGTTAGAACTGACAAAGTTTAACACCCACCTTCCTCCAAATTACTCTAACATAAAAATATATACCAAAAATGAGTTCAGCGAACAAAAATAACAAATATTTTGTCAAGAAGACTATTGGCGTGCTATAATTGATTTTCATCCCACTGTGCGCCATTCGATTAAATTGGGGCGCGATATAAGCGGTAAGCTTGGCTCCATAGCGTGTGCGCTTCTAATTTTTAAAGAAGTAAGGACAAACGATTTCACTCAAATGCACACCAAAGAGAGCTTTTTTTAATGTAACGCATGTGCATTGAGCCAAAACGAGCCATCACTGAACAGAATATTCTCCATAAAACAGTCGGTTGACTACCATTCGATTTTGTGCCGATTTACTGAACTCACGCGCAAATTATGATCATTCGGCCTTAATTCCTGTACCAACTGGATCTTAAAAACTCATAGGTCGAGATCTTTGCTTAAAACTTTCTATAAAATACTCAGCTGCAATTACCGATGCGGCCGATGCGGAAGCAACTATTTGGCCCTCCTTAATACTAAGCTCTACAGCAGCAATTGTTTCTTCGGTGCACACTGCTTTATCTAGAAACCACATTAAAAGTCCGATTTTATTCCAATTCAGAGCATATGTTAGTTATTTACGTAGAAATGTGTAAATATTTTATTCGAAAATTGGCTAGACAGGTGGCGCACTACGGGCTAAATCTCTTTTTTTTGTATAAAAAAAAATATATCGAGTTGAAAATGTTTGTTTAGACTATAACACCGTGCGATAGTAACATCTACATTAAATAAAATCAATATATTCGCGAAACCATGGGCCACATATAGTAAAACTGCGGTTTAAGATTTTTCTTTTGATGTCAGATTTTTTTAAAGAACTTTGAAATTTAAAAAAATATGATTACTTCAAAATAGTATATGAAGAATTTAGTGCAATGTAGAATATCATGTGTATCGAATTAAAGCAAAATTCTGTAGAATTAAAGCAGATTCAAATTTTTTCTTTGAATAACCTTAAAATAGTATAATATTTATTTTGGAAAGAATTATATGTCATCCTCGAATTTCGTCCTCTTAACTTTATAAGTTTAAAAGTAAAATTAATTAAAATTACATTTTCGTTACCAATTCGTCATTGAAAACCTACAATTTTCGTTTTAAATTCTACAAAATTTTCTCTTTCATTTGGTACCCTAATTGTTATTCTACATTGACCTACATTTTTTAGATAATTTTTGAAATTAATCATATCTCTGAAGCATCATTTTTTTTACATTGTGCTGAATTTTTCAAAAATTTTTGAAATAAAATATATCCGTAATATGACCTACTGTTAGGAAAGCTATAGTTGCTCGATTTAAAATATATATTTTTTAAATTTTGTGCTCATGTAAATACATACATATTGGTTAAAATACATTTTTATTAGTTAAATTTTCTATTTAACAGGCTTGCCCTGTTGATCTGACACGATCGGTGCCGACATCCGCCTCAACAACTTCCTCAACGACCAATGCTTCAACGGAAAAAGAAGCCACAAAGCGGCTAGCTTTTTCAGTTGAGAATATTTTGGATCCCAATAAATTTACTGGGCGAATTGGACCTTCGGGACATTATGGTGGACGCGGTTGGGGTTCAAGTAGTAGCAATGCCGATCGAGATGATGATATGCACGACGATGAACACAGTGAAGATATGTCAGGTGAGTTTAGCGAAATAAGTACTTTTGTAAGTACGAGTGTGTAGGCATAATAGAAACGAGCTTCGATGCCTTTTTTATTTTTATTTTTTTTATAATGAAATTTGGATTTTACTACGCGGAAAAGAAATTATTCAATTAACTTTTTGGGTACCGGATTTAGGACCTAATTTTCTGCAAAAAATTTTCATTGCCTTTTCACACAATTCCAAGTTTTCGCATAAAAATTATCGCGTTGAGTGGTATGTGCTCTCCTCATTTTGGAACCACTTTTCGCACAGATTAAAATATTAAATTTCAGGTCAGTAAAGGTCGTTTATCCTGGCTGCACGGCGCTGAGAACTGGCGGTTATGGCGGCTCTTTCATCTTTCTTAAAGAAGTACAACCCATTGCAAACAGTCAGTTTTTGCGGGCGCAATGACTCTCAGAGCCTACTTTACCCAAGATTCGGCAACCTTGCTTATTAAAATAGCCTGAATTGAAGAATTTCTTTAAAACGGGCGAAAATTCTGCCTCTGAAGACCCACCACTTAGAATAAGAAGTTTAATAACAGAGGACCACAAAGAGAACTCCAGCTGGAAAATCTCTGAGCTCAGTTGATCTAGAAGTTTTCGGGGTCAGTGATCGCGATTCCGGCCATCTCGCTTTAACGCATCTAGATCAAGGTCGTATGTGTTCGGATTCTGAAATTTTAGGTGCACACGTGGTTTGATCTTTTAGCCAAAGTAACTTATGGTGATCGTTTAGAGGTCTTTTAGAGGTCGAATTTGAACTGCTTTTAAAGATTGTCCCTACTATTTTTAGAGTCACTGATCACGATCACAATATCCACGTATATGACCTGAATTCGAATAATTTTAACTTTTCGATACTGAAATAATTTTTTAAATATTTTTGTAGTTTAAGACACCACCGATTTAAAGATTTTCATTTAGTGGGTTTCGAAGCATCAATTGGCAGATTTTTTTTTTCTAATATCTATCGTTTTTCGGCGAACGTTTCCATGTCGCACCACTTATATTGAGCGGCACTTGTAGGCATAAACATTTGAGTCCTTGGCTTGTCCTAAAAACAACCTAAATGGAAATTTCTTACTAATTTTTATTTATGACTCTTAATTACTTCCTTCCCAGCCAAAGTTACTAGCATGCCGGGGCGTATGAGTGACAACAATGTGTAGCATCAATATCAACACCTCATTAGTGCGGCCAAAATAGACATTTCCAGTCGCATAACAATAAATCAATGAACAAATGTTTATTAAGTTATTGTTACGTTTCTAAAAAAATCCGAGCTTACTAATTTGAGTTATTTACAATCATTGGGCTATGGAATTACTCCAGGTCGAAAGGTTGTTTAGCACTTAAAAATACCTTTCAACGAGATATTACACTTTGAAACTGAGTCTTAAATAAAAAGGTTAGACAAAAACTTTACTTTTGGACTCACCAAGGACGACAATTTATATGTCTCCTAACTCTTATCAAAATAAGCTTTCAAACTAGGGGTGGGGGGTCATTGCAAACAATTTTTTTAATTTTTATCTTTTTATATGGGAACCAACTTAGGCTACTGTGCACTAGACCATACCACTTTACCAACAAACAAACACAAAATCACCGTACACCACTGAATCTAATATACATATTTGTGCAAGGCAATTTCAAAAAAAAAAAAATTTTTTTTTGCCGAACATAGAGAATAATTTGATTGGACTGTTCAAAATATATCCATGGTAAAAGTTTAATGATTTAGAACGAAGTACTTGCAGTCAATCAATTTTCCAAGAAAAATTTGCTTTCTCGAGTCAGAAACGTCGATATATCATATTTTAATATGCGACTGAAAATGCCGAAGCACAGTGGTTCAAAACTGGCATTTAGTGTTTACAATTCACTGGAGCCTTCATTTTTCACACAATTTGATTAATCGTTTTTTTTTTTGCATGAAAGAAAATAAAATTTGCAAGAGCTGGTTCAACCCGATTTTTGAATTCTCGTTTGTTTGTACTAAATTTTTTAGTGCAAAGCGCAATAAAAGTAGCAATTTTGAAGAGAATCGATATGCCTGTTCCAGTTAATAAACGGGACATAACAAAAACTCGTTGAAAGCAATTGTAGCGTTGCCCAAAAGAAAAAAAATGTTAGAAGAAAAATTTTAAATGTTTTAAAAAAATTATCACCAAAATAAAAAAATAAATCAAGTTTCTAGAAAAATGTTTGGTATGCAATTTTATAGAATATTAAATTTTAGTGTAATAAAAATTTGTTCCGCTAACATTTCGAGCAGCGTTTGCTACATTACTAAAAATTAACGCGAACTCTTGCCCACTTGCAATTTGCACTTTATACATAAAAACAAAAAAAAAAAAAAAATTAGTAATTTTCTTTATACTCTTTCTGCACCTTGCACTAAAAAAAAAATATTAACAAATTGAGTGAAAAATAAAGGCTCCTGTGAATTGTGAAAATAATATGCCAATTTTGGACCACAGTGCGAAAGTATAACAAAAAATGTAAAACGTTCAGCAAATAAACTTTCAAATGGCCTTGCAAAAATATTGTAGACTCAGGGTACGGCAAACTTTTTATCCGATACAGTCTACTGTGCATGCAATGCTTTTTATAAAAAAAAATTCTCATAAAAACTATCTGTTGTTCGAAGGCGACTTATAATTGCGGTACCCTTCTATGAGCATACATATAAAGATTTTTATAAAAAATTTTTGTAAATTTTTAATTTTTTTATAAATATATTTTTTTGTACATTTTCATTTTTTATTGTGTAAGCTTTAGTTGCTTTTTGGAATTTAAATACCTTCAATCCTAATTTTTCAATAAATTTTTTCTTTTTATTTTTGTAAAATTTAAATTTTTTAAATACATATGTATATATGTATGTACTACATATGATCGGGCAAATTTTTTTATAATTACACACTCATGTAAATTTTTACTTTTATTGTAAATTTAATTCTTTACCAATATTTGAATTTTTGAAGATGCGGTAAAAAAAAAAAACTTGTAGTAACCCAACTAAAATACAATCAAATATAGTAGATAAAACTGCACGCAATTCATTTCTTTCGAAAGCGATTATGGCTTTGAGTCGAAAAATTTAACTCCTTTTTACATATGTATGTGTATATGTATGGATGTATGTAAGTAGCTTAGAATGCATTCTGAAAACTAATTTTTGTATTTACTACAGACGAATGGAATTCGTTCGTTCTAAAAAAGTAGCAATAAATATAGAACTTGTTTGTGGGCAATCATGCGGATAATATTAATGTATGTTTGCACAAAAAAAAAATTCGAGTTTAAAATTAGTTAAATGCATTAAGGCGATATTTATTAGCCTAATCTGTGAAACATTCTTTTTATAATACATATAAAGTAAAGTAAACCAAATCCATTTAGATTGCATTCAAATCATATTTCTTAGTAAGGCAGAATGTATGTAGAAATAAAATACAAAACAAATTTTCCAGCTTTCCACTCCAAATACCGATAGCATTTCAATTTCAATAAATATTCGCTTTCAGCAAAAAGCAAAAAGAAAGGACCTCAACCCACTTTTGCCGGCACTCCTCATATTTGAATGATTGTTCGTCGAAACGCTTGCCAAAATTTTGTTCTCTTTTCTTTCTGACTTTGCTTTTGAAGAATTTGCTGAAATCACAACACCTTTGTTTTTATTCAACCATGCCTTGCTGGCGAAAGGGAAGTTAGTTGAGTTATTTGGGCAGGTTGGCTATGCTTTTGAAAGAGACTATTTGTTTTGTGTGGTACTTGTGTGTTTTGGTTTGCCTATATGAACATTGAGATTTCTACAGGCATGTGAAACAGCTTTATATACACAAACATATTTATATTTGGAATATAAATTTTTTTATACATATGTATGTATGTATGTGTATAAGGTCTTCTTTTTATTTTCAAATGCATGTATGTAATCTTTCGTTTCAGTGCTGTATACTAACAAAATGTGTTGAAATGTTCAAGAGGCGGAGGTTGTTGTTTTGCATTCAAGTTTTTTTTTTAATATTTCTCCCCTCAAAATAAATGGAGGGGTACTCAAAATTTTCGATTTGCTGATATACCTATCCATCGTGTAATACTTTTAATGGTCATATGTATGTCCTTGCCCACATATGTATGTAGGTACATATGTACAACACAATCAAAAGTAAGCATCAGTACATCCCAGCAAAAAATCGGTAATCGCTTTTAGCGGTAATGTGTTCTAGAACGTATTGCCTTATAATGTTTCAAATTGTTTCGCTTCTTTTAGTCATTGCCGGTAATGCATTGCAGAATGTTTTACAACATATTATTAATTTCGCTGCTTTGATTCATTACGGGAATGCAAAGTAGAATGCTTCCCCGTTGTCAGCTGAAAAATATAATGAATACGCAAAAATTATTTTTTTAGCACTAATTTGTGTGGAAAAATCCATCGCATAAAAATCATGTTCGTTTAATTTACAGCGAAGTTGAAGTTAGTCCTTGAAGTGAAGTACATGAGTGTGGAAGTACAATTTTAAGTTTAATTAAATATGTTTGTGTGTATATAGCGATTTTTACGCAAGATCTAAATACCTAATTACATACATACATATGTATATATACAAACTGATTTATACAAATTGTAATTAATTTTAATCTTTTTTTTTCTGTTTTAAATTTAATATAAATATGTATGTATTTATCTAGTCATTCTACATTAGTTTCTCTGTAAGATATTCTTTGTTCGCCTGTTCGTTCGAAGGTAAGCTGCTGCGGGTAAGGGCTTACGGCCAATGACATGCCATTGTTAAAATAATGTTCTCTTGGAGCGAAAGGGTAAGCGATTTCCATCACCTCGTTATTTTTTGCTGGGATGTTTATATCAATTTGTGTATACTACATACATATGTACATATGTTGGCAAGTATGTGATTTGTATGTATATATATGCATGATAGTACTTATATTGAATTCCTAAAATCTGCTCAGCCCA